CACTTTATCATATACACTTGATATATCAAGCAGGAAAAGACCCTGCTTGATGTAAATAAAAGGCAGTACCCCTGTTTTTAGCCCCTTCTTCCCCTGACCAGTACAAGGAGAAACAGGGAACTGTGTCAAGAGAATCAGGGCCTTGATCCTTTGTCGTATATATGGATTTATTAAGAGGAAGAAAGACTTGAAATCAGAATTTGCTGGGTCTGAAATCCAAAATGCTCTAATAACAATCTTTTTCAATGGTAACACAGTCTAGAGTATTTTCAATTATTCCAAACTCTGAAAAACTGAAATCTGAAACACTTAGGGTCCCAAGCATTTCAGATAATGGTTACTCATCCTGTACTGAGTTCAGATTTGCTCAGATTTGATTTGGGTAATCAAACTTTATTAAATTTTACCTCTCAATACTATTGATTTCCTGTTAAATTGATTTTAAACTATTCTGTAATGCAAAACCATAAAAGCATTTGTCTCAAAATGCTCTGATCCTTTAAAGTGATATTTGCTAGGGGAACTGTTTACCAAGAAGCAAAAATATTTTTTACCCTTTTTTAAAGTTTTTTTTAAAATTTTTTATTTAGTAAATATAAATTTTCAAAGTACAGTTAATGGATTACAATGGCTCCCCTCCACCCCAAGAAGCCAAGAAGAAAAAATATTGATTGGGAGGGGGCAGAGAATTGAAAGGATTTCTTCTCAGAAAATCATGTCAGCCAGTTTTGACTTCAGTCAAAGGTGCTTCCTGACTGGCATGGTGGCTGGGACATTTCTGAGGGATGGTCAGGCTTACATGTGTGTCTGAGGGTGCAACCTGGTGCTGTGTCCAGGGAGCTTCTGCTGAGAAGGAGCGGAAGAGAGTGGAGTCAGGCAGATCCACGAGGGCGGCTGTCTTTTAGTCTGGTTCTGCACTCAGGGGAGGTGGCCTTCCTGGAGGACGTGAGAGAAAAGCACCTGGCTGTGAAAACACATTGGCTCCGAGATGGGCTTCTTGGAAGGATTGTGATGTCCGTTAGATGATAAGAGGTTGAAAGTCTCAGCTAACCTGGGAAAGAAACCAGTGAGAGATGATGCTGAGTGAGAAATGTGTCAGTATGTCCGAATATTTCTTCAAGATGTGTGCCTGTCTTACAATGCTCTTAGGATAAACCTTTTGAGAGAGTGAGCGAGAGAGAGAGACAGAGATTGAACACGTAAGTGAGTTCCCATCCCCTGGTTCACTATGCAGAATGTCCTCAGTGCTCACAGCTGGGATGGACTGGGAGCCAGTAACTCAGTCCAGGTTTCCCACATGGGTGACAGAAACTCAATCACTTGAGCCGCCACCTGTTGTCTCCTGGATTCTGCGTCAGCAGGAAGTTGGAATTGGCAGTCATGGCTGGAAATTCATCTCAGGCCTAAACAATCCAATACAAGATATAAGCTTCTCAACCAGTGTCTTAACTTCTATACCAAGCACCCATTCTTAATGACAACTTTTCAAAATAAAGTTTAATGGAAGGTATTTGGCAGTTACGTTGCGACTGAGGACTCTCACATCCCATGTTGGAGCGCTTGCTTCATATGCTGGCTCCTCTGCCTCCAATCCAGCTTCCTGTTAATGTGTACCCTAGAAGACCATGGCTGATTGATCAAGCACTTGGGCCCTACCAGCCATGTAGGGGACCGAGAGGAGTTCCAGACTCCTGGATTTGATGTGGTCCAACCCTGGATATTGTGGGCACTTAGGGAGTGATTTAGTGGATGAAAGATCTGTCTGTCTGTCTGCCTTTCAAATAAAATATGAATAAATTAAGTTTTAAAATTATAGTTGAATTGTTTAAACATGTTTATCTTGAGACAATTTTCTTGTTATTAAAAATATACATATATTTTAATAAGTTTAAAAAGCAGACAACTGCATTGACTATGCTATTGCAGGATTATTGAACGCTTTGCTAAGTGTTGAGGTTCAGGGGATTTCAAGTTGGATGAGACTCGGCTCCTGGCTGTGTGGACTCTTGCTTCCTGGGGAAGGTTGACTTCTAGAAACCACTTTTGGGGCACAAGAGCTTTGTGCACATGCTTGCAGGAACATGGAAGATGCAGTGGCTCAATTCTTCTGGGGAGCTGGGGAAGAGGTCTTAAAAGAGGAAACATTTGAGCCAGGTCATGAAGGCTGAAGAGGAAGACATGAAGGAGGGATTGTAGACAAAAGAGGCTGCATACGCAAAGCATGGAAGCGGTTAGGTTCCTGGCAAGAACCTTCGCATGCCTAGAGCGTTAAGATACGGGAGCCAAGGTTGAGTGACAAGTCTAGAAGTAAGACAGCCACATTCTAAAGAACCTTATGTTTGACAAGAACAAGTCTAAACTTTTCCTGTTGACAAAAGAGAACCATCCGGCCGGCGCCGCGGCTCACTAGGCTAATCCTCCGCCTAGCGGCGCCGGCACTCCAGGTTCTAGTCCCGGTCAGGGCGCTGGATTCTGTCCTGGTTGCCCCTCTTCCAGGCCAGCTCTCTGCTGTGGCCCGGGAGTGCAGTGGAGGATGGCCCAAGTGCTTGGGCCCTGCACCCCATGGGAGACCAGGATAAGTACCTGGCTCCTGCCATCGGATCAACGTGGTGCGCCAGCCGCAGCTCGCCGGCCGGGGCGGCCGTTGGAGGGTGAACCAACAGCAAAGGAAGACCTTTCTCTCTCTCTCTCTCTCTCTGTCCACTCTGCCTGTTAAAAAAAAAAAAAAAAACCATCAAGCACACTTGATTTCAAGGAAGATAATTCTGGGGACAGTGTGTGGAATGAGGAGGGGGCTGAGGTCAGCAGCCATTGAGGAAGTTCAGGAGCCTGTATCTTCAGGGAGTTCCAGTTAAAATGGAGGGAAGAGGTTTTAAATGACAAAAACCTTCTGAGGTAGAATCCTCTGTTTGGTGGTACTGCATATACTTTAGGAAGCAGCAGTAAAGGTTTCCTGTGAGGAATATGAAGGAAAAGGAGAGAACTCTTGGTAGTTTTGCAATGATTTAAATGTTAATTGAATTTCTTTTAAGTATTTCAATTCCTAGGGTTGAACTCTCCTTTGAATTAGAAATTTGCATATATAGTCACCAAAAACTTCTTGGCAAATTTCACTGAATTCAGGACAGTAATACTAGTATCATGTCAACAGTTAAACAGAAATAAGAAATCATTTAGAGCTCTGTGAAATACTGTTGTAAGTGAAGACAACACCTTTTCCATGTTGTTTCAGTATAGTTTTTGCTGGTTTTCCTTGCCGAGTATTTTAGTAATTTCACTGTTGCCTTGAAGATAGGAATATACCTTTTTGTGTATATATGTTATGTATGTGTTAGCTTTAAGTACCAAACATAGGCTAAATAGGAAATCAGATTTTAAGACAGATAAATTGCATTTCTGTCTAAACTTTGAGTTCCAAAAGATAAACATTTTACTATGGTCTGAGGCTTTGATCAAGTAAGTGGGCCTGATCCCCTGTAATCAAAATACAAGAGATTTTCTCTACTCTCTTTTCAAAGAATTGCCCTGAAGTTCTTTTTATTGCAAATTATATTCTTCTGAAGACCCTCTGACAAGAAAATTTTTTATGCCAGTGAGAGAAACAGAGATGTCTTTTGCCTAATTTATGCATTAAGTGGTGACACTAGAAGTAAAAGCTCTATAAAAATTACAGCTATTTGTTTACACTGGTACAAGAAGGTGTCTTCATAGAAGACATTTATACCTGTGTTAGTGTAAGCAACAGGTTTAGATTTATTAAATCCAAATACTTTTAAAAATTCTTTCCAGATATGATTACCAAACATGTTTGTTGTTTCATAAGCAGTACTGAGTCCAGGTGCAATGAAATATCTATGTGGTGAAGTGGATTAAGCTGTCACCTGCAGCACCAGCAGGCCAAATAGGTGCCAGTTTGAGTCCTGGCTGCTCCACTTCCTGATCCTTCTCTCTGCTGTGGCCTGGGAAAGCAGTGGAAAACGGCTCAAGTGCATGGGCCCCTACACCTGCATGGGAGACCCTGTGAAGCTCCTGTCTTCAGCCTGGTCCAGCCCTGGCAGTTGCTGCCACACTGAGAGTGAACCAGTGGGTGGAAGAGCTCTCTCTCGCTCTTGCTCGCTTGCTCGCTCTCTCTCTCCTTCCCTCTCTGTGTATAACTCTGCCTTTCAAATAAATAGTCTTAGAATGTTGGCAGGGAGTGAGGGGGGACAAGAAGGAATCCCATATAATGTCCACAGAGAAATAGTCCGCTCTCCTGGAAGAGGTGTTTCAACTAGGAGGAGGAATATTAAGAATTGAGCCTGCCTTGGAGGGTTCAGTGTGTTTGTTGCATTTGTCTGCAGTGGATCCCACCAACACTGTTTATTAAATCCGCTTTACTCATTGTAGGCTACCACTTCCCATGACCAGGACCTGAGTTGGTCTTGGCTGCAGAATTTGATAACTCCACTAAGTTGTCACGCTTAGTCTTGTGGCTGTTGCTGATTTTGGCTGTGAGCAGTCTGTTCTGAAATCGGCAGAGGGGACTCTGCTCCACTGGATCTCATTCTTGACTTTTCCAGTGCTGTCTGATTGTTTTTTAGCTGTCTAGCTGTATTCATTTGGAGGGCTATTTTAAACCTGAAGCAGATATCAACTGAGAGAATAAAAATTTAGCTTTTTAAAGAATAATTTTATAGATTGACAGCTGTAACTCTTACAACTTTATTGAATGTGTAGAAATCCAGGAATCTCAATGTTTGTTGTAGTGACACAGAGAACTAGAGGGTTTTGAATACAAATGTTTGACTATTTAATGTTGACATATATGGCTTTATAACCTCAACCTTCTAAGTTTCTAGGAGATTGGTTTTGTTTATTTGTAAAACTTCAATCCTAGGTTCTTTCACAAATTACAGTGTCAAAATTGGATGTTAATCTTGACATCCCTGCACATTTTTGCTTTCATAGGCCTTTGAGTGAAGCTACAAGCGGACATTATCTGGTTGTTGATTCTTTTACAGATGAGAACTGGGATGATGACCAGCTGCTTGGTTTTGAACCATGCAACGAAAACCTTATCTCTGGCTGCAATATAATCAATGGGAAATGTGAATGTGATACCATTCGAACATGCAACAATCCCTTTGAGTTTCCAAGGAAGGATATGTGCCTTTCAGCTTTAAAGAGGATTGAAGGTAAGTGTTCATTTTCATGAATGATCTAGTCGTCAGCCTTAGCATTGTGTAACTCTGAGCAGAGATCATACTTGAGCTTGAAAAGGCAGAGGGGAAGCTATGGAGCTTGGTAGCTTTTACAGTGCCAAACCAGATGCCTAAAATTTACCAGGTGCTGGTGTGTGTGTGTTTCTTGGAAGCTGTACAGAGGTAATGCTGCGGTCTCTGTGAGCAGGGTCGCCTGTGCCAGCCTGCCTAGGTCACCTCTGCCTAATGGATAATTTCCCAAATGCTGTATTTGAGATCAGCATCTGCTGTCACCAGGTCCATTCCACTTGATTTACCATAGGATGGTTCTCCACGAGGAGAGCTTCCTAATTAGAAGTGCAGCTCATCTGGCAAGCAGGAGTCTCTCTTTAGAAGATAATGGGAGAATCATGTGGTGCTGGTGCTGATTGAAGGCTTAGGTTCATTTTGCCAGGGGCAAGAACATGTGTGTATAGATAGATCCGTGAGGCACTTCAACTCTAGAGAGAGGTCATAAATTACATTCACTAGCAAGACAGTTGTATTCGTATCGCTCATAACTTCTTTACATTCATGTGTACAATCTAGAAAAAGGGTTGACAACTTGGAAATGGGATTCATGAGCCCAGTAAACCCAAGTGGAGTAGCGAGAGTTTAGTGCTGTGGCTTCCAGCCACAATTAATGAGGAGTGAGGCTTGGACTCGAGTCTCAGCCCTGCCTCTGACCAACTAGCATCAGTTTTTTCTGGGAAAGAAAAGAGTGCTGGAGGAGACACTCTAAAATACGCATTTATCTCTAATGTCATTCTATGATGAGGAAGATTAGGGAACCAGGCATTTGGCACAGCAGTTAAGATGCCATGTGGGATGCCCACATCACATATTAGAATGAGTCCTAGCCCCATTTCTGATCCAGCTTCCTGCTAATGTGCACCCTGGGAAGGCAGCATGTGATGGCTCAAGTACTTGGGTCCCTGCCACCTACATGGGAATCCTGGGTAGAGTTTCAGCCTCCTAGCTTTGTCCTGGTCCAGCCCCAAGCTCTTGTGGGCATTTGGGGAGTGAACCAGCAAATCGAGGATCAATGCCTTTCTCTCCAACTCTCCCTTCCTTTTGAATAAAATAATTTTTTTTTAGAAGAAAGGTAGGTAATACAGTTTGGAATACCAAGGATTTCAGAGGCCAAAATTCCAGTTCAAAAGGAAAGTAGGACAGGATGGAAGCTTCTGAAATGTATTGTGTCCAACTTATATTAAAAGGTAATAAAGATTTTTACTGTAATATAAATTTAAAATATGTCATCTCAAAACTAAAAAGCATATAGGGTAAGAGGGAGGGAGGCAGGGAATATTATGTTCTTAGAATTGTATCTACAAAACACATTGAATCTATTAAAAACTAATTAAAATTTTTTAAAAATTAAAGACTTAGAAATTCATAATGGCCTGTAGATTAACATTTATTTTGATGACTCAGCAGCCTGGGTAATACGAAGAGTATATAATAGAAAATAATAAAAATAAAAATTTTAAATTGCAGAGGGTATAGATAGTGTTGAAGCCAGTTCTTGAATTTGAACATCAGGAAATCGAGCTTCCACATAACTGATGAGTAGCAGGCCTAGAACTAACTGTGCCAAGTATTCTTCCAGGCACATCATGAATTTAGACAATGCAGTCAGTTACCTAACTCATTTCTATTTCTTGGTCACACTTTGCTCATCTCTGTTCCCACCCACGTTGCCTGTTTGCCAAATTTGGCAATAGAGACATGTAAGGATATAGAGGACGTGGTAGTGTGTTCATTTGAGTTGTTAACTTATTAATTTAGTTACTCATATTTAAATTCCCATAGCATAAAATAAGACAGCAATTTAGAATTAGTACTTTTGCCATTCTTAAATTTCATGAAACCATTTTTATTCCAGTGTTTCAAGTGCCTCAGTAAGGCTGTCTTTGTCTTCACACACAAGCCACATTCCACAGTGTGTGACCCCCTCTGCTCTCAAGCACAGCCTCTTTGCTGCTGGCCAAGTTTCTTTTTGAGACACAGCAGATCTAAGTAGATACTTTTGCAGGCAGTTTTGTCCCCAAACCCAGTATCTACCCACATAAAACTAGGATGGTTACATTTGTAACTAGTTAAGTATATACCTATAATTTTTACAATATGAAGATTTACCTTCATTGATTTTTAAAGTGATTCTGAAAAGCTGTTTGCAGGATTCAACACTTGCAATTGTGAGATCATTCGCACAGGAATAATTACTGTATCTAATTAAATTTCTTTTTTTTTTTTTAGTCTTATTCTATCATGGTCCCTGTATAATCTAAAAGTAGAACAGGTTGAGGCCATATGAGGTTAATGTATCTTATATAAACAGTGTTTTGTTATTCAGAGTAAAGCATACTACAGATATTTGAGCTCTGTAAGAAGTTAGGGGTAGAGGATTTCTATTGGCTGAGACAGTTTTGAAGAAAAAAGCCATATATATATTCAGGTAGATACAGTATGAGAGACTTAATGAAGATATTGTATTGTTGTACACATAATTGTTAATGTTGATAGAAGTTTGATAATTGGAATTCTATAGAGTTCAGGGTCAAGAAAGTGTGACTTGGAATTATATATGATATCATGGAAGAGTAGAATCTAAACAGTTTAGAATTTGAATAATGATTTCAGAAATGAGTACAATAAAGACAAAAGAATCTAGTGTATAAGTGAGAATATGTAAGATGTTGTGAAACTGGAACCTGTCTAAAAGAAGAAGGTTTTATGCCTGTAGGTAGTAGGAATTAATGATGGGGTCAGAATGGGACCAGATTATGAAACATCCTGAGCATTGTACAGGGAGCTTAAGCCTGGTAATATGAGCTATGAGAAATCATTGCAGGCTTATGAGCAGAGAGAAGCAGAGCGTAGTAAAATCAATTTTAGACAGACTAGGGTTCTAGGGAGATGCAGAATAGATTAGCTAAGGAAGATGCTACAGCCAAGAAGCTTGTTAGAGAGCTGTTTCCATTATTTAGATGTGGTGCCGCAGGAGAATGGGCTAGAGTGCTAGCAGGGGAGATGGCAAGGAAGGATGGATGCACAGCATTTTGATGGAAGCGCCTACAGTAGGTGCCTGCAGATAAGAGAGGGATGACAGTACATAAAGACGACTCGAGGATTTCTAACCTGAATAGAGTGAAAAGCAAGTAATAGCAATACGTCAGGGTGAACGTTTTGGCACCATGAGTTTAAACAAATAATTTTTTTTTTAAAAATAGGAAAATCTTTTAAGATATTTTATGATAAATTGGAACTGAAAAATGAGGTAGTTGTTTTAGGGGACATAGGGTCAGGAGATACTACAGCATAACTGGGTGTGACAAGAATGATCTAAGAAAGAGGAAAAAGCCAGTAATGAAATGCTTAAAAATAATGCTCTTGTGAGCAATGTCTTGTTTCTGTTTCTCCAAAGAGTATAAAACAAGGCCATCATCTAACAGTGAGGTAGAAGAAAGGGTATGGAAAATTGAGGGTGAAGAAGAAAATGTAAAACAGGCATCTTGAAAGAAAGAAAGGACAAGTGCATTAGGGAAATGTAATAGGGTCACTTGCTGGTGCTAACAGTTTACTTAAGGTTAGTAGTTACAAATTTGAAGAGAGACCAACCACACAGATACGTGTTTCTCTCCAGCTCTGGTGCAGGTGCAGCAGAGATGGGGATGTAATCAGCGCTGCGGTTTTCCTTGGCAAGTCTGAACGAAAGGAAGAGTCATCCTTTGGGATTGAGAGTCAGGCAAGAGGATATTTATGGTGATTGACCATGTCATCCATACTAGAAGGGGACAAAAACAGTGCCTAAGCAATATGGTCAGTGGGGCGGGGGTCTTAATGTGGTTGAGGAACATAGGAGGGGGCAACCAAGGAAGTTGGAAGGAATTTGTAGAACAGATACTTGTTGTCAAGATTCTTATTGATTTGTAAAAAGGGCTAAGAATGACCTTGGATAACGAAGCTTGCTGAGAAGGGGTGAAGAACCAGGTCCCGGGAAGTGGGAGGCCAGAGCGCTGTGCCAGGATGAATTGTCCCCTTAAGTGATGAAGACGAAGCATGAACAGTAGTAGGGAGGTGGTGCAGAGTCAGAAGTTTTTTAGGTAAATTTAACAACTGCATGCAGCTGGTGATGTAAGCAGATTGCATTTGCTTCAAGTAAACACTATTTTATTTTTTAAAAAGGAGAAAAGGAAGAGTGATCTCAAAGTGAGTTTAAACATGGAGGGCTTACGTGATGCGGGAAATAAAGCCATCCTCACTTAAGAGGGATTCGAGGGAAAAGAGTGGTCGGGGGCTACCCAGGCTTCCTCTAGAATAGATGGAAGAAAGAAACATTCAGAGGGGAGGATGTGGGCAAAAGGCATTATGTAGATGCCCGAACATGGGTTCTAGAAGGTACCAAAAAGGATTTAGAAAGGAGAGTTGTGTGGAGCATGGAGTGACTGCAAAATCACATGCAGATGAGAGTACAGTAATAATGGTAAAATTTATAGACTTGGTTCTGATTATTTCTTATGGGAAGGTGGATAGGTCTGGTTAAAGCCTTGTTTTTAGGACAGTTCTTAGGGGCAGTTAGTAATACTAAGGTGTGCAGTATTAGAGATAGGTGAGAGGAATCAGAGCATAATGAGAAATCATGGGCCCAATTTCTGTTGAAAATGAATTACACTGTAAAATGTAACATTTTAAAAAATTGGAAGCCCCTGCAGGACATTTCTATCTCATATTTATAGAGATTTATGAAGAATGCTGGCAATTTCTGGGCATTAAGGAAGCTCCTATTTATGATATATCTATTTAAAAGGAAGGAGTAGGTTCTTAATTTTACCTGTTGTCTTATTTTCTAAAAATACACGAACATGTCACCACAAAATCAATTTGCCAAACATTTAGAGGAAATAGAAAACTGGTTAACAGTCAGCCATGGCTTTGCACAGCGTGGTTTG